GGGAGCAGTTATTGATTTCCAAAGTTTTCTTCCTAGCCTGTCATTCTACGATCTTTTTTATGCTAAATAATTTACTCATAAATTCATCAATGATTTATTAATGTAAAATAGCCTGCCTCAGGATCTATATATTTTGGCAGGAAAAATATTTTTAATAACATTGTAAAACTATCCATTAAATTCATATTTTTAGCCAACGTAGTGAGAAAATATATCTATGTAGATATAAAATCATACCTTTTGCAACTTTTTTCCCCTGAGATGTATAGGGTTTTTTGTTTCTTTGTTTGTTTTGATATATACAGAATATCTCCTCAGATTTAAAAGTAAGAAAGAGAAGGGAATTTTTTTTGCTGGGGGAGAAATTTTTTCTCAGGTTTTCGCGGGTGTTTGTATGTAGGTCTTTGGTTATTCGGGTCTTCTCCCACGTAAAATTGGAAGTGTCTTGGCGACGTTTCGACGAAGTCTCATTCGTCATCTTCAGGCTGGTGTTCTCGGCTTCGTGCTTCCAGGAGCAATGTGAGATCGCAGCTGTCTCTTCCTTTTAACTGCTAGTGGGGGTGTGAGCTGATTGGGTGGGGACTTGGCTGTGTTCTGATTGGGTGGAGGTGTGTTCTGATTGGTTAGGGGCTTGGCTGTGCTCTGATTGGATGGGGGGTTGGTTGTGCTCTGATTGGCTGGGGGTGTGTTCTGTTTGGGTGGGGGCTTGGTTGTGCTCAGCTTAGTCTGAGTTGCAGGGGGATTTGAGCTGGTGAGCTGCGTTGTTGTTGTTTGGCTTTGTGTTTGTGGCCGTGCGAGCTCTTCATGGTGGGTGTCAGTCTGCTTCATGTATGGATTGGAGGGGTTTAAAGTGGCTAATGATGCGGCTGCGGTCTGGCTTCTGGTCCTTGGTCATAGCTCATTATCAGTGTGGGTTTGAGTCTGCTTTCTGCATGGATGTGTGGTGGTGACATCCTGTGTGGCTCTCGTGAGTGTGGGTCTGGTGTCATTCGTCGTGTTAGGGACTCGTTTGTCAATAAGGGCGGGTTTCCAAATGGCTGGTAGGCGGGAGGTATCGTCTCGTTTGTTCATGCTGTGTGGGCGTTTTTCTATCTCGATGGCTTCTCTGATTATTCTGTTGTTAAAGTGTTCAGTTTTGGCGATAGTTCTGGTCTTTTTAAAGTCAATATCGTGTCCTGTGGCTTTAAGGTGTTGGACCAGGGAAGAAGTTGGTTCCTGTTTTCTGACTGAGTTCTTGTGTTCTTCTATGCGTGCACTTATTCGTCTGTTTGTATATATATATATATATATATATATATATATATATATATATATATATATATATATATATATATATATATATATATATATATATTGTGTAAGTGATAAAGTTTAAGTAAGTTAAACTTAAGTTTGGTAGGGATATCAAATTATGACACGTATTCAACAGATCACTGAGATTATGTTTAGAAAAAGAAACCCATTTTTGAAACATAATTATATCACCATGTAACTGTGTACTCAGCCTCATATTATGCTAGCCAACTATTGCAAGGCTAAAATTTTATGTCCCTTATGCCAAAGATCTGGAGACAATCTGTTCTTCTCTTTCTGAATATTATTTGGTGGCAAAATCATTTCCATTCTCTAACAACATGATTGACAAAGTTGTTTAGCTATAGGAGAGTGGAGATGGGGAAGGGATTCTCAACTTAATTGAAACAACTCCAGCAGATTTTGATACTGAAAATAATGTGGAGAAGAAAATACATTGTGTATAATGTATGATTTTTAAGAAAGTTTCAGCCATTTGGGGAAAATATATATTGCAAATTGTACTTGTAAGAGAATGTTCTTAGACAAACCTCTTGGAAATAGAGACTATGCTAAAGAAAAAAAAAACATCTTAAATTTATAATTCCCACAAAAGGAAGTTTACATACAAAAGCCAGACACAAGGTTACCTGTTTCTACAGTTCTATTTCAGAGACTCTAAGACAACCATCTAATTTTGTGGATACGTTATTTGTGGAAAAAGCAAAACAAACAAATAACAACAAAAAACAAATAAAAAAACTGGACTTCCTTACATGAAAATACAATATTTGAAACCAGTCCATAGTAGTAGTTGATTTTAGTATGGGAAAATGTCATAGTGTAAAATATATCTCTCATATCCAACAAGGCCAGGAGTTTTCTGACCAAGATAATCGTCAAAAACAACCATTATCTTCTTCTCTAGATAATGAACTGAAACTTGTCTGAAACGTATTCAGATAATTATTCCCTTTAAGGCAGGGGTGTCAAACTCAATTTTATTGAGGGCCATGTCAGGGTTGTGTTTGACTTTGAGGGCCAGGGTTGGTGTAGCCAGGGAGGGCATGGCCAGCTCGACATCACCTGAGTGCTCTGCCAGGGAAAACGGGCTCCTGAGCTCCGTTTTCGGCTGCGACAGCCTCCTGCAACCCTCTGCCAGCAAGGTGGCCCTCCCAGGCTCTGTTTTTGCTGGAATAGGCACCACGGGCCGGTCCTTTGCTATTCCTAGGATGGTCCCATGTGCCAGATCTAAGCACTCCGTGGACCAGATCTGGCTCCAGGCCTTGAGTTTGACACCACTAATATAAGGTGTTCTGTAGTTACAATAGATCATAGTCTCAATAACTATCTTTTTCACTAAAGAGAAAGATTAATGATTGGACATTAATTGTACAAAATTTCATTCATTTCATTCATTTCATTTATTGGATTTGTATACCGCCCTACTCCCGAAGGACTCAGGGCGGTGAACAGCCACAGAATAAAACACATAAATACAAAATTTAAAAACAGAATAAAACCGAATTAAACAATTTGGCCGAGACAAATTAAAAACACCCAATTTAAAAACAAATTAAAATTTACATTTTAAAGGAGAAAGATTTAGGCCAGGCCGGCTTGATGGAATAAAAAAGTCTTGAGACGGAAGGTGCGCAGATCCGGGATCCTCCGTATCTCCGGGGGGAGCTCATTCCAGATAGTAGGTGTCCCCACAGAGAAGGCTTTCCCCCTGGGGGCCACCAGTCAACATTGTTTGGCCGACGGCACCCGGAGGAGCCCCTCTCTATGAGAGCGTACCGGCCGGTGGGAGGCTATTGGTGGTAGCAGGCGGTCTCGTAAAATAACTGAATTCAAAGAGGGAAAATCAGAACAAGAACCCCCACCCACCCACCCACCCCCAGTTTAACACCTGCAGCTGGGTTAGATGATACTAGTGGTGAAATCCAATTTTTTTTACTACCGGTTCTGTGGGAGTGGCTTGGTGGGCGTGGTGTGGCTTGGTGGGCGTGGCAGGGAAAGGATACTGCAAAATTTCCATTCCCACCCCACTCTGGGGCCAGCCAGAGGTGGTATTTACCAGTTCTCTGAACTACTCAAAATCAGAACCTGCTGGATTTCACCCCTGGATGATACATTAGTTATGGGTGCAGTGTTAACTGATGCTCAGAAGTACATCTCATCTCTGGGTTAATCAATTGATACTATCAAGGTCTTGTCTCATGTCTGGAACATATGTTTGTCTGAAAGGAGTGGAATAATCTCAGGCTGAAACCTGACTAGACAAAACTGGAGGAATTTGAACCACCCAGGTCTGGATATGCTCCCTTTCTGTTCCTGAATTGGTTTCTAAGAAGCTATGTATAATTTAGGACCAACTTGGACTCACATAACTAAGAATGTAGCAATATTTTTGTCCTTTTTCATCTCATTGCCTTCAACTTTGACATCTCATTACATACAGATTTCATGTTTACCATCAGCAGAATGAGGGAGATCATCAGTCATCCAACTGCCAGATGTGGACATTGATCCATTATTATTTGTCCTCATTTCTCTGTAAGAGATACCTCTCTGTATTCTTTCATAGGTTCCTCAACCTTTCACATTTGGAGTGTACCTGTCAATCCCCTGCCTGAGTAATTAAAATTCCAAACTTGTTTATAGTTATTGAGATAGGCACCAATTACAGTATTTCAGGTATAGAGAGCTGGAATAAGAACTTAGGATAAATCGATTAAGTAATTATACCCTTGCTTATATAAATAATTATATATGCTATGTTTATTTGTATGCATGCATTTCCTTTATTGTTTCTCCTGTGTTCTCCATAAAAAGAGAATTTTATTTCTATGACAGTCTGTGCCTCGTAGTGCTAATCAGTTGTGGTGTTTGTGCCTTGAGTGAACGCACAATTCAAGGATATATGCTGCTAGCTTTTTTCATCTCTTCCCGATAAACACAAGGTCAGCTTGTTAGGATAACAAGCAGAGCCTTGGCTCAATTCACATATCAAAGCTCCCATGTTTCCTCTCTAGGAACATGTCAATTATGATTGCACGCCAGGAAGGATACTCAGGTCTCTTTTCTGATTATTTCTTGTCAGTTATACAACAACTGCTTCTGTATTTGGAATCTTCTGCTGGCATATAACTCACGCTCAAACTGTCTGATCAACATTCGCTATCAGGGTTTAGCAACCTTGTCACTTTTGTTCTTGGCTTGTCTGACTGCAAGAGACCAGTGACTCATTGTATCCTGCTTTGGAAATAATAAAAGATAATTGGATTTTCTCCAGTTGTGAATGCTTTGGGGCTGAAATTGTCATCCCACTGGCTATTATTTTCAGGAAGTAGATAGCTGTAGCTTCAGATACATTAACGCTGCAGTTGCTGTGGACATATCCTGGCTGCACCTAAAATTATTTAAGGGCTTGAAATAGGATGGTAGCTCACACAGATATCCATTCCTAACCAGGGAGATTACCTAAAAGATGATCTGGGAGTTGTGACATCTGCTTTTTTCTCACTTCTTTTCACACCATGATTTTGTATACAACCTTGTAAGAGGTGGAGTTTATTTTGCAACATTGAGATATTCCTATTATCATGTCTCTCCTTCACCCTCATAAGAAGCATCACAGTGTCAGGATTCCAAGTAACATACTGTTCTGACCTAGGCTGCCGCAAAATCATGAAACAGACTCCTTGTCCCGAAAAAAAACCTTTTTTAATTTGGCTAATGTGAATTCCTAGCATTCACATCCAGAAAAGTTCCATCAATAAGCCTTTCAAGGGTGAATTGCAACAACAGACTTTATCAGTCCTTGGATAATTGCCAGGCCGATAGCTTCCAGGCACAATGCTGTACAACGAAATACTTGGCAAGAAGTCTCTGTGAGGCACGGACTCAGATAAGCAACTCTTCAAAAATAATAAATGAACTAATCATCTCCTGCAAAGAACAACTCCCCTTTAGCTCCTATTTATTCCCTATAGGAGGGGCCATTCAGCGTCCACTTGTGTCTGTACTCCCGAGTCAACCCCTGTTCCTTAATTGTTCCATTCTCCTGACAGCTCTGGGTATGCGCACCTCGGGAACAGGCTTCAGCTGTTCTTCTGCCCCACTTATCTCTGACTCCGAAGGTAGCTGATAACTGTCAGACAGTCTTGGCCCGATCTCTGCCTCCAATGCAGAGCACTCATCAGAGCCTTCCCCAGGCTCCAGGACTGGTCCATGGACAAATAGACAGCTTTTATCTGTTTTAAACAGTGTAATAATAAATATTTTGCAACCAACTCTCCCTCCACCCCCAAGAAATCAGGAACAATTTGAGCAAATTCAGATATCTATGTTGTTTATATTGATAGAATCTGGAGTTAAGTTCTACCCAAATGCAATTTACATTTTAGTTATCTCCAGGACAGGCAATCAAGTACCCGTTACAATTAGGCCTTATCCACTTTAAATGGGTTTATGGGAATTGTAGTTCAATCTTCTAGAAAGCAGTAGTTCTCTGACTCCAATGTTTTGAAAGGTGGAAGGAAAGAGAAGAGGATGATGACTAGCAGCAAGATGGATGAACTTGGTTATCCTGGAAGACATAAAAGAAGGTCTTTAAGAACAGATCATTATGGAGGAAAATCTATGTGTTTACTAAGAGGAAATCTGTTGTACAGATGACACTGAATAGAACCCATATACCCTTCCCCCCCAATTTCTCTTTTTTGTGTGGTTTCTAAATGCTTCTTGCCATCTTGGCAGCAAACTGTCCTACAAAGAGAAAAAGTGATCTACTAGGCATTTGATCGGCTTTGAAAGGAAGGAAAGGGAAGTTTGCATGAAGCCTTCTACAATATTGTTGTATGACCTCTTCATATAAAAATGCTGTAAAGAAAGGAGGAAGGAAGGAGAGAGAAGAGCAGTAGGAGGGAGGGAGGGAGGAAGGAAGGAAGGAAAGCTGCTTTACTTCAGTCAATAAGAGGGCCTCTGTGCATGAGCCTAAGCAAAAGTATAATATCTACAAGCAGTTTGTAAAGTGTTTCAAGGAACACTTCATAAAATATGTTGATTAAAGCATACCTGCAATTGTTCAAGCACTGAGATAATTGCATCTTTCCACTGATTTCCTTACTGATCAAGTTTTCTACCAGCTTCTGCCTCATCATTTTCCCTATTTCCCCTAGCTTCTCCAAAGAATCTATTCTACTTCTGACTTGCTTTCTGAATTTTCAGTTACAATTACAGATGTTGGTCACTGGATTTTTCCTCTGGAAGTCTATTTCTACTTCCACACCATTCAAAGGGGGAGTAGGAATGGATTAGGAGTAGGAATGTGGAAGTAGGAATAGATTTCCAGAGGAAAAATTGCAGATTACAGGATCCAGGAGCACTACTCAGGTGACCCTGAGGACACAGATAAACCTCCAAGTGCTTCAACAACCTGCTAAAAGGATGCAGATTACCAGCTGTCTGCAAGGAATATAAATCCTTCCTTTCTCCACTATCTGGTCAGAGCTGAAGAAGTTTCTTGGATGAGAAGCAAAACGTCTTCAAAGAAAAAACAAGAAAGTCCAGTTGCCTCCTGAAAAAGCACCTTTGGGACAACCATGACCTGGATGATTGAGAATTTCTACAGACTAGTGGTGGGTTGCCCCTAGTTCGGACTGGTTTGCAAGAACTGGTAGTAAAAGCGGTGGGAGGCTCCGCCCACTGACCCAGATGTCATCAAAGCTGATCTGCGCATGCACAGAAGCTTCTGTGCATGCTCAGAAGAGCACACGTGGGCATGATGTGAACCGGTACTAAAAGTAAGTAGCACCCACCCCTGCTACAGATCTATACCAATTTATGAATTTTTGAAGGAAAATAATCCATTGAGCATTAGTCTAGTAAGATTTTTGTTTGCAGCATTCATGATTTAGTCCTGGTCCTTTCTAAAAGCCAATGTAAAACCACCAATATATATCTTCAGGAGAATGTGTTTCCCATTCAAAGACTGTGATTCAATGAACAAAAGACATAAAGCTTGCATTCTGTGTCTGTAAAAATTTCAATAGGAGAAGCTTGGAGAAAGATATAAGTAATGCTGAGGATTACAGTACCATTGTAATAATTTATTTAAGCAGAAATCATTATGATCTAACTCCCACTTAATGCTCTCCATAGCTCTAATGTAAAACTCTATCGATGGAGAAGATGAACGGGGGAAAAAAAAGACTGGAAGCCATGTCAACATTTTTAAGGAATATATCTGAGTTATTTGTGATTTTCTCTGCCATTCCAAACTCATGCCCTCTTCTTAAAAAGTGAAGTCATTTTATCAAAAATTCTATTAAGGTGCTAAAAATTACAAAATTCTGTAATTAGAAACTTCTGCCATTCTATTGATTGAAACTAGCAATCCTGATCCCTACTCGTCCATGAGCAACTACATTGATTAACTAAAAAACTTGTGTAATCAGTGTCTCTAAAGAAGTAGACTTTGCCAACTTTTCAACAGATGTTTGTATCAATCAAACTATAATTACGGTTGTAGACCAGCGTAAACAGGTTTTTGTAACTTCCAGGTTGTTGTGTTGAAAATTATAGCACAACATTTCTCAGTATAATTAATCCTCAAATTACAACTGTAATTAAGCCCAGAATTATGATTGTAAGTCATGCTGGTCATCAGTGGACATTAAATAAATAACATAGTTGTTAAGCAAACCTATTGTTTTGCTTAACCTATTGGTTTTTGCTGGGAATCAGAAGTAAAAACCAATTTCTGCCAAAAACAAATGTTGTAGATCAAAGTTATGTGACTGAGGATGTGTTCTGCCCCAGCTACGGACACCAAAGAACGCAGCACACACAAACTCTATACAAAGCTTATTTTACTCAAATAACTCAGTCTTTATCAACCAAAGGCTGTTAATAAACTGTCTTAACAGCCTATAAGAATTCTAAGATAAGGTAATCACAATCTTACTAGAGTTGGCAGAAAGCTCAGAAGCAATCCAGAGAGTGAACTAAAGTTGTTCCCTACAGCTTGCTGCAAGCGGCATTCCTCCTTAAATAGGCTAAGGGAGTGGCCAATTAGCCCCAAGCCTTACTCTCAAGGAGACCTCCTCCTGAGGAGCCACTCCTGCCTTTTGACAGCTCTGTGTGCCCGTGCATCTAGGAGAGGCTCCTCCTCTTCGTCCTCTTCACTTAAAGGAGCTTCTGGAGGTTCTGAAGGCCCTGGCTGAATCCCTGCCTCTGGCACCACATCTTCTCTAGCCTCCTCACTGTCAGACTCGAGCGCCAGCTGCACAGGCTGCTGGCGCAGCACCACACCAGCCTCCTCATTGTCGGAATCAGTTACAAACTGCACAGGCCTCTGATGGGCCACAACAGGATGCTGCAAATATGATTGTGAGGGGGAAGCCACTGGAATGTTGAATCCAGATTGTTAGTACCTTCGGGTACTTTGCCATAACTTTGAACAGTCATTAAGAAGCTGGTCATTAAGTAAGGGCTAAGCGTAATGCTTAAGATTAATGGAAGTTCAAAGCTGTTTTGAAAGAACACAAAAAGAACAAATTTACTCGGAGGCAAGTGAATTGCACAAAAATATGTATATTTTTATAAGGGACTCAGTGGCTCAGTGGTTAAGATGCTGACCTTGTCGATCGAAAGGTCGGCAGTTCAGCTGTTCAAATCCCTAGTGCTGCATAATGGGGTGAGCTCCCATTACTTGTCCCATTTCCACCAATCTAGCAGTTTGAAAGCACGTAAAAAATGCAAGTAGAAAAATAGGGACCACTCTTGGTGGGAAGGTAACAGCATTCCGTGCGCCTTTGGCATTTAGTCATGCCAGCCACATGACCACAGAAACGTCTTCAGACAGTGCTGGCTCTTTGGCTTTGAAATGGAGATGAGCACCGCCCCCTAGAGTCGGGAATGACTAGCACATATGTGCGAGAGGAACCTTTACTTATGTATATTTTAGCAAATCTGTAAAAATAAGGCAGTACTTTGCTCCACTAAAATTCACACTATATTAATTATAAAATTAACTTTCTTTCCTTTGTCAACCAAATGAGGGTCTTAATTAATCAATTGGTTGGTTTTTCTTTTGTTTGAGATCTGATTTTTTTTAAGAAATTAGGAATACCACAATCTTTGACAAACACCCTGCTGTTCATTTTCTTTACCTATATTGTAAGATGTCTAAATTCATTCAAAATAAATGATTCAGTTCCCGACTTTAACTGTCAGGCTTATTAGATATTAGAAAATGCACCTGTTATTATTTTATAATGACACTTAAAATATGTTGTACAAATGATTTATTCAAAAGAATCAAAATAATTTATTTAAAATTGTGTGAAATAGCTCTGGCCTAATCCTTAATGTAACAGAAGTTAGTTACATCTACAAAAGTGTTTTGCTGGTTAGTAAGGTTGAATATGAACTTTTTTTTTCTTCTTTCTTTTTGCTTTTTTTCTCCTGGTAAATGTTCTGTTCTGAATTATATCTCTCTGTAAATTCACTGTATATATATATATATATATATATATATATATATATATATATATATATATATATATACACTATACATACATATATATATATATACACTGTACATACATAAATACAGTGAATGTATGTATGTATGTATGTATGTATGTATGTATGTATGTCTGGCTGGCTGTCTGGCTGTCTATCTATCTATCTATCTATCTATCTATCTATCTATCTATCTATCCAGGGGTAAATGCTCCCAGTTCGGACTGGATCATCTGATCCGGTAGCGATGGCGGTGGATGGTTCGGAGAACCGGTAGCATAAATCCCTGAGCCCCCCCATCCCCAGCTGAGCTGCGTGACCATCAGAGGCTTTTTTATATATATATTTTTAAAAGCATTTTTTCTACAATCTCTCCGGCCGAAAAAATGCTTTTAAAAGTAAAAAAAAAACCTCTGATGATCGCACACCTCACCTGGGATTGTCAGAGGCTTTTAAAAGAAAAAAAAGCCCCTGTCGATCAGGCAACTCAGCTGGGATCGTCAGGGGATTTTAAAAGCATTTTTTTTAGAACCTCTTTGGCCGAAGCGGTTGTAGAAAAAATGGCTTTAAAAGTAAAAAAAAAAAATAAAGTTGGCCACGCCCACCCAGTCACATTACCCCATCACCACCAAGCCATGCCCACAGAACTGGCAGTAACAAATTTTACATTTTACCACTGTATCTATCTATCTATCTATCTATCTATCTATCTATCTATCTATCTATCTTCATTTCTTCTTCAACAGCAAAAAAAAAAGTGAATTCAAGTAATCTAATATCCAACTATTAATTATTATGGCGATTAGTAATAATTAATAGTATTAATTAAAGAATCATATTCTAATAATTTGCTTTGGACATATGGAGGTTCCTGAGTAGTTCAAAGCATTAGGCTTTTCCTTAAAATTGTAATTATCTATTTAAATAGACATTCTTTATCTGGGCAGTACAAATTCAGATCACCAGAAGACCCAGCAAAGAGAGACAGAAAATTAAGGGAATATTGACAGGTTTTGATGCCACAAATATAGCATTCCTAATGTAAAACATCATTGTTTCAGCAGAAAAGACCTTGTAACCCTCTAGATGTTTTCTGATGTATCACTCCCATGGATTCAAAATGATAAAAATAGCTGGGCATTGTATTACAGTAAAAGTTAGAAAGTCACAAAATTCTATTCCTAGCATACATGAGCATTGAATTTTAAGAATACACCACTTGGCTTTAAGCAAATTTGTTATATTATATTATTATTTGGTTTTCTTTCTTTCCGTTTCAGGAAGTTTCCTTATAATCTAATTTTACTATAAGGCAGATACTTATAAATCACCAAGAAACAATAAAATCTTGTAAATAAGAGAGGGGACCCCACTGCTTTCATTCCTCATCCAGATGATTTACAAATGATTTGAGTACCAAACCATGTTAAAACATACTGGGTCAACTGCACTATATTATTGAAGGCTACAGGCAATGTGAAATAAGTATAAAACATGCCTGGCTTACAGAGTAGGCATTGAAATTTGAAATTAACTCGGAATCAGTTAATAATGTGACAGAAATTCCATCTATTTGTTCTAGAGCAGGGGTGTCAAATTGGTGGCCCACAGGCCAGATGCGTCACATGCAGGCCCCGCCCACCCCAGCTCCACGAAGGGGAAAAATGTCACGATACGTCAGGTAACCACAACGTGACGCCGTGAGTTTGACACTCGTGTTCTACAGCATTTTCAAAATGTCAAGAAGAGGGAAAGTGATTTAACTATGTAGAGGTGATCAATTTTTATAACAATAAATTGCTGTTATAGAGAGCCAGTTTAGCCTAGTTCTTAAGGCACTGAGTAGAAAGTGGGATGACTGTGAGTTCTAGTCCCCCCTCTTTGCCATGAAAATCACCTGGAGGATTTTGAGCCAGTCACTCTCTCTCTCAGATCAGCTCACCTCATGTGGTTGTGGTGAAAATAGAAAAAAGAACAACTAGACACAAGAACAGTTTTTTCCTGAATGCCATCACTCTGCTAAAGAAATAATTCCCTCAACACTGTCAGATTAGTTATTAAGTCTGCATTACTATTAATCTTCTCATCATTCCCATCACCCATCTCCTCCCACTTATGACTATATGACTGTAACCTTTTTGCTAGTCCTTAAGATTTATATTGGCTGTTTCCTAATATGATTTGATTGCTTATTTGTTCCCTATGACTATCATTAAGTGTTGTATCTTATGATTCTTGACGAACGTATCTTTTCTTTTATGTACACTGAGAGCATATGCACCAAAGACAAATTCCCTGGGTGTCCAATCACACTTGTCCAATAAAGAATTATATTCTATTCTAAAAAAAAAAAAAAAATAGGAGAAGGAAAATGTGCTGGATATGTTCACCACTTTGAGTTATTTGTTAAAATAATAAAGGCAGAATATAAATAACTAAATAAACATAACAGCTACAATTAAGATTTTGAAATTACTTTCACATTTCTTGATAGGTTTGCCTAAATGAAAAAAAAAATTCCAGATTAAATTGCACATTTAAGGAATATTTACGTGTTTGTTAGGTTTAAACTTCGGTTTAGTGACTCAGTCATCAAAAGCATCATTGCTAAACTATATGCAGCCTTTCCTCATTCATAGATTGTGCTAAGCAGTGGCATATTTGATCATGATTGGTCAGCTGAACTTTGCAGAGATCACATCATAAGCTATAAAAATTGTTGAGACTCTAGAAAGAGTGCAGAGAAGAGCAACAATGATGATTAGGGGACTGGAGGCTAAATATATATAAAGAAAAGTTGCTGGAATTGGGTTTGTCTGCTTATATAGCTGGTCATATCTTCAAATGATTCAAATGTAGAATGCATACTGCTATTTAAACAATTCCCTTTTTCTCCCCGACAGTTTTGTTTAGAAATTGGGATTTTGTCAACTGAGATTTTTCTGGAACTCACCCATTCATCCCATTAGACGAACCTGTCCTAGTTAAGTTTTATTTGCATGCAGCATTATAAATACACTTCATTCACTTTTGTTGTGGTTGTTTATAACTTGACATACTTAAAAATCTTTGAAACATGTCATTGCAAAATACAGTAAAAGGGCAATTGCAAATTAAATTACTAAAAAATGACAAGGGTTATTGCAAACTTCATTTCTTACCTCTACTTCTTGCTAGGGCTAATAAACATTCACAAGAACAAGCCTGTTTTTGTCAAAATTAGGAGATTGGTTTGTGACATTTCAGAAAACGAAAAAAGGTCATAGATGTCATAATATGTTTGGGTTTACAGCAAAGTTCAAATTCTACTGGGGGATTCTATGACTGCTGATCACCTCTGTGCTGCCTGTTAGACCTGTCAAACTCTGAATGTTGCTAAACACACACACACACACACAAACACACACACAAAAGACATGAAAGCAAATAGTTATTACTAGATATGAACACAAATGCACACGTGTGCATACAAAGAGAGAGACATGTGCAAATCTTCTGAGGTTCAGAAGGAATACTATGCTATTTCTATAACTAAGACTATTCAGAATATGGTGATAGATTATGATACTAAATTCTTGGGAAGCTAAAGCAACTAGTAGCTGTGATTTCACATTGTTGTGCACATACTAATAGTAAGTAGAATAACTATAGCAAAAGGTAAGTACCAACAGTAACCGGTACCTTGGTTGCAATTCTAAAACATTTGGGGTTTGAGCATTTTGAACGCCACCAGTATTGACAAAATGACCCTCAGTCAATTGCAAAAGGTAGTGAAAGGATTAGAGCATGTACAGAGTGTCACCTAACTCAGCTTTTGTCATTGCTGCTGAGAGAAGCTTCATTGTGACCTAATGCTCTATCTGAATAGATAAAGCCTCCAGGCTGCCAAGTTAGCCTTGCTTGTAACTTAAAATGGGTATTCTCAGCAACCTAATGTGAGATAACACCCACTAACAAAGCTCTGGACTATATTTATTTTATTTTATTTTATTTTTCAATTTATATACCGCCCTTCTCCCTAAGGACTCAGGGCGGTGCACAGCCAGAATTAAGAACATGAAATACAAATATTAAAAACAATTAATATATATATAAATTTGGCCCAAAAATTTAAAAATCACAAACCAATTAAAACATTTAAAAAATTTAAAAATTTCTTCCTAAGCCAGCGCAGCTTGCTGGAAAAAGTGGGTTTTAAGGGCACGGCGGAAGGCACTGAGGTCTTGGATTCTCCTTATCTCTGGGGCAACTGATTCCAGAGGGTAGTTGCCCCCACAGAGAAGGCTCTCCCCCTGGGGGTCACCAGCCTACATTGTTTGGCTGATGGCACCCTGAGGAGGCCCTCTCTGTGGAAGCGCACAGGTCGATGGGAGGTCGTCGATAGCAGCAGGTGGTCTCGAAGATAGCTAGGCCTTATGCCATGGAGCGCTTTAAAGGTGATAACCAACATATGCCAGAAAATGTATTCTTTTCCCCTTCTGAGGTCCTTTGTTTGCAGAGCGCTGAGAAAATCATGAGGTTTGCATGAACTAATGGATATGAAATTATGTTTCTAACACTATGACGATCTGTGAAAGCTGTGTAAACTATAAGAAGTTTGAGAAAAAGTTTTTGCACGCGGCGGCGGCGGTTTCGGCTTTTGCTTTTTCTCTCTGCCTGCTCTGTTTAAGATGGGAGATAAAAGTCGCCCAGTTTTGCTTCCTGATCAGAAATAAAACTGATTATCAGTTGCCTTGTGTTCAGGGTTTCATTGAATTTATCAGATTCTGAGCTGCACTCGAAAACCTTACAGTAAGCTTTACTTGGGACAGGTTGCATCCTGTGATAATGACTCTTATATTATTAAACAACAACTGTCTTTGGAAAGGACTCACTCCATGTCACATGTAGTCTAAACAACTGGATGATGGGGTGTGATGCTAGTTCGCCTCCTCGTCGTGCACCCTGGATAGCACGGAAGTGTGAACCAAACAACTAGCAACAAGCGGCAGTCAGACCCCATTGGAGAATTGACAGTTAATGGCAGTTGGCAGCCAGACATCTTTGTAGAACTCCTGGCTCTTTATGGATAAACAACTATAAGTCCATGTATTTGCCATACGCTAAATACATAAATAAAATCTGGATGATGGGGTGGCATAATAATGTAACTTACAGAAACCTATAGTGGATTGGTCATTACCTGTGTCAACAAGGACCTTTTTTAGTTTTTAAATGGTTATTAATTGTTTAGTTTTAATTTGTTAATGGGTTTTAATTCGCACTGTTTTAATTCGGGCCAAAGTATATAATTCTTTTAATTAATTTTAAATTTTGTATTGTTATGTATTTTAGTTTTGGCTGTGCACCGCCCTGAGTCCACTAGGAGAAGGGCGGTATATAAATTGAATAAATAATAATAATAACAAGGACTGAGCTAATGGCTGGAGTACCTGGACATCCTGGGACAAGTGGACTATAGGACTCAGGACTGGGGAAATAGGGCCAGCAGCTGCAGGGCTACTGGAAGAATAGTTGCATACCCATTGCAAATGCACCAAGACTGGAAACAAAGAAATAATGACTTGCTACCACAAACTAAGTCCAATGAGAAGAGAATTTGCTACCACAAACTAAGTCCAATGAGAAGAGGAATTCACTTGGTCTGCAGAAGTGGGTTTCACATAATTTTACCACCGGTTCGCCGTGCACTGAAAATGTGTGCACGCGCCTTCCGTGCATGTGCAAGGCTTAATAGCTAAATAGGATGGCATAGCGCTGGGGCGGCATTACCGGTTCACTCAAACCGGTCTGAACCAGCTGAATGCCACCTCTGCTGGTCTGGAAAGAGCAACACCTAGGATCAGAAATAACAGAGCAGAGGCTGGCAGATCAACATCAATTTATAAAACAAAATAAGTATTCCCAGAATTAGAACTTGAAGAATTGCAAAGGTCTAGCCAGGGCAAAGAAATCGAAGCCTTGTCAGAAGTAGCTCAAACGTACAGATAAATCAGGACGAATCAGTACTAGAAGCCAACAAAAGAAAAAGTAAAAAAAAGTAAAATGCAGTTTGTAGTGGTGGTTAAAATGATGGGATTCTTCACAAGGACACTTCACAGTCTGGATGTCATATTTTGGAATGCTAACATAGCAAAGAGCTTATTGCAATCTTCTACACATAACAGGGAAATGCTAATTATGTGCTTATCCCTTTGTCTTTGTGGGCAGCTTTGTATATATGGAGATAATTTCTTTTTTAAAAAAAACAACCATGGCATTCCTGTGGTATTTTTGAATTGGTAAAATCTCAAAAACTGTCCCCTTTCCTTGAATTAAAGGAAGATTTAAATGTGTATTGTGCATTTATATCTTGGTTTGGTTTTGCAAGTGTCCCTACCAAATTGATGGACTTGCTTTCTCTTCTTTTGCTCCAAAAAAAAATTGCAAACCTCAACATGATGAAATGTCAAAGTTTTAAAGCTTTCAAAATAAAATACTCTCTTGAAGTTAGTCTTTTTTTTTTTTTCATGAGGGCTCAGTACTCTAAAATTGTTCAGCTGTATATGCTATGGATGATGAAATAGTGCTAAACCAGAGTTCAGGTTTAATGATTTGCAGACATGATGCCTAAGGCTAACTCTGTAAGTGGAAGTCTATGGCAGAGTGAAGTCAATTAATTCATTGTGAATGGGTTGTTTAGTGAAGCATGAAGATGGAAGAGCCAAAAAAAAAAAAAAGTCTTTTTCTTAGTATAAACAATTGTTGAAGAGGTCAAGTGTGTGTGAAAGCTGAATTGTAAGAGACATTTGCAGCAGATCTACGTTTATTCTGGATTGCCCTTAAATTAAAAATACAAAATGGTTATTTTGTATTCTATATATGTTGAAATCTATGATCACGGTCAATTTCTTGCAGGACACTCATCAAATTTAAGAAAAATCTATATATAATTGCACTTGTTGTTACCACATTGTCTCAACAGAGAGGGTTGAAAGCAGATGGGCTCAGCAATCAGAGTGGACATCCAAGAAGTAGTGCATTCAGGACAAAATAGATTTGCAGCTTCAGGTATCAGTATACCTTTTAATTGACCCTATACAATTTGAGACAAGTGGCTGTCCAGTCTCTTCTTAAAAGCCTCCAGTACTGGAGCACATATAACTTCCAAAAGCAAACCATTCCACTGGTTAATTGTTCTTCCTGTTAGGAAATGTATCCTTAGTTCTAGGTTGCTTCTCTCCTTGATTAGTTTCCATCCATTGTTTCTTGTCTTGCCTTCTAGGACTTTGAAAATAGGTTGCCTCCTTTTTCTTTTCAATCTACTGTGATTTTTCTTTTTTATGTGAAACAAATAATAAATGTCTGCATCTTTGTAAAAAGATAATGTACTACTCAGCAATATTTCCAATCAAATAGTGGGGTGGGATGTGGGGGGTGGAGGGAGTCTTGAGATAATTGTGCAGGATAATCTGTAACTCAGAAAATGAATAGCATGCCAAAGTTGTTGTCCAGGTACAACTGGAATTATAAATGTGAAAAAAAAAGGGGGGGAAAGCACATCTCTTTTCTAAATGCATCATAAATTAGAGTCCAGTGACAAATAAGTAATACATTTGCTGAAGCAGAATGTAATCTGAAGGAGACTTTATAGGAATGAAAGAGGAATTATTAACCATTATGGTTGAAGTAATCTATACAATAAGAACCTATTATTGCATTCAGAAATGTGTCAAGAAAACAATGCATGTCTTTAGCTTTAGAAACAGGCAAGAAAAAAAATAAGATATCTATTTGAAGACGTCAGATAATGAAAAAGCAACATCTCATAGAACAGAGAGATTGCCTAGTTTGACTAGGTACTGATGTATTTTGAAAAATAAAATTGTTTTCTCTTGATTTATTATGAGTGTCTCCTAGGATAATGCACGTAGTTCCTAATTGGGGGATCACAGCTACATGATATTAGTGGACCAGAAAAACGCTGTGGACATAGTATACTTGGACTTCAATAAAGCATTTGACAAAATAGACCACAATCTACTTCTTGGTAAGATACAAAAATGTGGGAGAGACAGAATCATTACCAGATGCATTTGTAACTGGCTGACCAACTGCATTCAATGTACTTAATGAGTAATCCTCAATGGGACAATGTCTATGTGGAAGAAAGCATGGAGTGGGGTACCCAAAGTTCTGTCTTAGGCTGAGTACTCTTCAACATCTTCATAAATGATTTGGAGGGGAACTCATTAAATTTGCAGATGAAACTAAGCTGGGGAAAATAGCCAACACTTCAGAAGATCTGGAAAGATCTTGACCGAGTTGGACTGGGCCCTGTCCAACAAAATGCAAATCAGTGGTGAGAAAAGTAAGGTTTTACACTTAGGAAAGAAACCAAATGCACAGATATAGAATAAGTGGTACCTGGCTAAATCATAGCATTTGTGAGAGGGATCTAGGAGTCCTAATGAACAACTATTTAAGTATGAGCCAGTAGTCCTAGGCTGGATCAACAGAGGGATAGTATCAAGATCACATGAAGTGTTAATACTACTTTATAATGCCTTGGTGAGACCACACTTGGAATAATGCATCCAGTTTTGATTGCCACAATACAAAAAAGATAATGACACTCTAGAAAGAGTGCAGAGAAAAGCAGCAAAGACAATTAGTGGGCTGAAGGCTAAAGCATACAACGAACGATTGCATGTTAATGTTGTCTATTGTGACAACTGTGACATGTGAAAGATTTCAACTTTGAATTTTGTAAAGCCACGACTCTATATAATACAAAGGCTGCAGAAGGTTACTTTGAACAAACTTTCAGCTCAGCCTTTCTTCATGCATTTCTGACAGATCTTAGCATCAGTTTACAGGGTCACTTAAATATCATACCCATTTTATCCAAGAATGACATGCCTTAAAAATGAACAGTAGTCATGTAGTCTTTTCAAAAATAAAAAGTGACTTAAAATATGAGAATAATGTGTTCATTGTAACAGACACTTGTGACCTTTATTAAAAGACCTGCCAAATAATAATAGCAGAGGAAAAGTTGTATTATAACCCATCTAGTCAAGCTATAGTTATTAGTTATGGTTCAAAAGAGCGTGATAGTAGAATTGTTGGCATTGCACAATAAACATATTTTTCTATGGATGCCGTTTCATTCTATTGAAATTAATTTTCTTTCATTTAATGATTAAAGGGACCTACACCTAACAAGACTAATGTGTTGTTCAAATAATGGCCTAAGTAACACAGTGTTCTTGTTACAATGCAGTTTCTTTGCCTTAGTTTGCTCTTTGAATCCAGCAACAGCGGCTTGTAGATCAAGGTTAATAGTGAGGTAGACAATCTTACCATTCATGTCAGTCAGTCAATCTTTAAAAGGCCACTCATTCATCAACAATTTTTGGCGTGCACATCAACAGTGATTCTTGCTTCAAGGGCACATCGGAGCATCTGCAATGTATATCTAGTACATGACTCTCTTCCCAACCCTAACCTTCATCAGTTTATGGCTTCGTATATTGGGTGGAGTCAGCCACAGTTAATAAGCTGTTTTTGAATCATGCATAGCCCAAAGTATGAAACGAAGAGTAGAGCATGTTTTCTTTTGGAAATGATTTGAAATAAATGCTCCAGCCTCCCCTCTTTGTATTATTTAAAGCAGTTGCTGCGGCCCACCAGCAGCCAGCAGAGCTGGCAGCAGATTCGGACAGTGAGGAGGTTGGGGAGGAACGTGGGCCAGTCCTGGAGTCTGGGGAAGGCTTGGACAAGGGCTCTGCATCGGAGGCAGAGAAGAGGCCAGGGCCATCTGGTAGTGATGTGCTGCCTCTGGAGCCTCTGGAATCTGACATCAGCAAGGCAGAAGAACAGTGTGAGCATATTCCAAGTGTGCACATATGCAGAGCTACCAGAAGGCAAGAACAATTAAGGAAAAAAAGGGCGACTCGGGAGTAAAGCTTGGAGATGATTGGCCCCTCCCATAAGACATAAAAGAGGAGTAAATAGACGTGAGCCTTTGCAGGAA